CTCATTCTCTCTCTCTCATCTCTCTATTCTCTCTCTCACTCAATTCTCTCTCTCTCCTCTCTTCTTCTCCTCTCCTCTCTCTCTCTCTCTCATCTTCTCTCTCTCTCTCTCTCTCTCTCTCTTCTCTCTCTCTCTCTCTCTTCTCTCTCTCTCTCTCTCTCTCTCTCTCTCTCTCTCTCTCTCTCTCTCTCTCTCTCTCTCTCTCTCTCTCTCTCTCTCTCTCTCTCTCTATGCAAAAAGTCATATTTTGAAGTAGTTTTTACAGGATTGTTTTTCTTTCTTTCTCGTTGACACAAAAAGGCTTACAATATAGATAACTTGATTCCTGTAAATTGTGTGGATGTTAGTGTTTTTGTTTTTTCGTTTTGTTTTCATATGAACATGTGCATGCAAATCTTTGTTTTCCCTCCGGTTTCCATGCCTTTTCAAATGCATATATTTGAAAAGTAGTAAAGTGGATATCTACAGGATTTTATTTCAAACATGTATTTTCTTTCTTAATTCATATCACACTGAAAACTCTCTGTAGATTATACTTGGAAAAAAACACACACATGCATACACACCACACACACACATACACGCACACACACACATACACACACACACACATACACACACACGCGCGCGCATTTGTGTGTGTGTGTCATTTTGAAAGAAAAAGTACCAAAAGGCCAATTAAAACATGGAAAAAAAAGAAAAGAAAAAGGAAATTAAATAGAGGCTAAAGCCAGCAGTGCTTAATTGGCACCCAGCTGATATAGCAACAGAGACAAGATAAACAACCTTGTGAAGAGATTATACTTGTTTACATTTGGAGCAATTGTGGAACATAGATAAACAAGGAATATGTTGATAAAACGACAAAAGAATGAAATGAGACTCTCGAAACTACACCTAAAAGACCAGCTAATGCTGAATTGGCTGCAGAGAAAGAATTGAATGGGAAACTATAGGAGCTTGTGGAAAACTTGAGTAGAAACAGAGGAAGACAGTAAAGATATTAGGAGAGAGTATAGACATAGACAAGTTGAAACAAAGCTAGATAATGGCTTCAGAAATTGTCAAAATGTAGAAAACTATCAAAGAGTCTGAAGAAAAAATGTCAAACAATCAAACTGAAGTATTGGAAGAAACAAACAAACTTAAAACAGCAGTCACCAGTATATTGAAAGTCAAAGAGAATGTTAACACAACAAGAAAGAAATTTCAAAAGGACATGAAGGGCTCAAAAGTAGAGATCAAAACTGAATGACTTCAATTCCTTATCTGATCTTGTCAGACTTTGTCACAGTCATTATTGACAAAGACGTCTTAAGTAGCATAAAAGAAGGTTGATATTTTCAGGGATTACCATCACTGCCACAACGTAGAGGCTGATTGGATAATGGTATTGATGCCAGCTGTAAGAAATTATCTTATCGTCATTGCAACCAGATTTCACTTAGGCTTGATAAAGTATGTGTACAGAGACTCATGATGAAATGTTTACTATGGTTTCTCATAAATTTTGTACAGGGGTATATTCAAAGCAAAAATCACTGGGAATAGTTCAGAGGTGGTAATTATTTTTTAGTATTTTGGGGGATTCATATGCTTCTACTTTCTCATTTGAGCAGCTGACTTAATACTTAAAGACATTAGTTTAATTACAAATATGAACTGGTATTTTATTACCTGGAACATTCTCTCTATGTATAGTAGGGAGTGGGTGGAGATAAACAGAGACGTCATGAAGTCCTCAAAACCCTGTGATGCCATGGTTGCAATGGAGTGAATCGTGATTCGATGCATAATGACATAATTTTCCGTCAGCTTTTCAGAGGGAGCATATCTTTAGTGGAAGTGGAAGCATTTTTTTTGTCAGATACAGGCATTTAAAGTGAGGGGAATCACAAGTGAGCATTTTCATCATCAAAACATAATAGAATACACCAAGAAAAGAGCCTAGTGCATTCTTCTTGGAAAAAGTCATGTACAAATGAAATTCAAATGTTACCTTTTTACAGGAAAAGGAGGCAGAATAAAAGAGGAGGTACAGTTATAAGAGGAAATTTTAGATATTTAAGAATGTTCCCTGAGGAAGAAAAGTAAACGGTTGTAGTAAAGAAGATTAATTTGTAATGATAGAGTTGAAAGATTTGTGCTGAAATTCAGATGGAAGATAAAAAATGTCTGAAAGTTACTCAAAGAAGAAAATGGGAGAACAAGAGTAAACAAACTGTGCTAATGGGAAGATTCACAAGACATGGCTAAGGAATAAGGAAGACTATCATTATTTATAGAAGAACAAGTTTCCACAGTAAAGGATATAAAGAAACCAAATTTTCATATTAGAATGATGAGTAGAAAGATTGCATGCGCCTGAAATGTATGCTAATTTAAAAAGTTCAATGATATTCAAAGCATACCTGACATGTCCCACAAAGCTTCACTCTCTCCCATGTTTGAACAACTAGGTTTGAAAAAAACACATATTAAATGTACTTGTATTTACCTACCTTGAGCTGCTTTTTAAATTTCCAATTGTTGTTTTTGGGATTAGTTTTCATTTATTACAGTTATTGCAGTTGTGATTTTTTTTCCCATTATTTTACATTCACATGTTTGCCCCAACCTGTTTTTGTAGGGACCCTAGATAGAGTGCAGTCGGATGAGCATATTTGAAATGAGAATTTTTTAAAAGTTAGAACTATTAGATGTCTGTCTTACCAAAGATAACAAGGTTCATTTACCTTGGAGATATATTTTGTTAATGATTTTACTTATAGGTAGAGGCTAGTTATGTTGGAGATTTTTTCTTCTTCTTCTTTTATAAAATTAATCTCTGTCTTTTTCCCATGGTATTAAGACTATTTTGCCCCACAAAAATGTACATCTTATGTTTAAATTTAACCTGTGTGTAGATTAAAACTTGTATGTATATTATAGCTTTTGTATGGGTTTGTAAATGCATTTAATATTGGATCAACTATGGATCACACCTTATCAGTGGGTCTTTCATAAGTGTTGAATACATGTATATGATTTATGGAAGCAGTACTAGCTAGTGTTAAAGTAAAAAATTGTTATTTGCTTGAGGCATCCACTTTTATACAATCAGAGAATAATTATTGCAATTAATTGATATATTTACATTATCTAAAACATAATGCTTACACAAATAAAAACTAGAAGCACTCAGAGAGTGCATACCTCTGCCAAGGCAATAGGATGATGATGATAATTGAAGCACCAAAAAGTTGTCCCTATCTTGCAATGCTAATAATAGTAATAGTTACCCCTATTGCCAAGGCAATAAGGGTAACTGATACAATTATTTTAAGAATTCCTGGATCCAGATTATGATCATGAATTTAATGGCATCCAAGTTGGGCTAAGACACACCTCTTGAAAAAAATTCATAAAGACCCGTTCTTAAGTTTTGAATTATCTGGTGAACCAACGAACAAACTAACCAACACTACCAAAAACATAACCTCCTTGGCGGAGGTAAAAAGAGTATGTGTGTGCATGAGAGAGAGAGAGAGTGAGTGAGTGAGTGTGAGAGTGAATGAGTGAGTGAGTGAGAATGAGGATATGAGAGTGCATGCAAAAGAGAGAGACTTGAAGGAGATGCATTTTTCCATTTACACATATAAAATGTAAATGTATTTCACATTTATCTAAAATCTTGAGTCTTTGTTTTTGCATTTTTATTTTCATTCCCTTTAAATCATTTTTTGCTGTTTTAATTTTGTTTTAAACAGAATCAGCAAGGAAATCCCATATGGCTTTGGTTTACCCAGAAGCCTCATAGCATGGAGAATGGGATCTTAATTATAAAGTAGCCTTATTCATTTAACTAAACTTGTGCTTTCAATAAAAAAAGTAACATATTTTACTTCTTGCATATATATACCTTCAACTACAAAATGAGTTGAGATCAAAGGTTTATTTTAGACTTGCCTATTATGATTATGTAGTAGTGAAGGTAGGTGCTTCTTTACTGGGGTATGTAGTTCAAGTAGCCTTTTAGTTTCACATGTAGTTAAGTTCCATTATGTTTCTATGTTTTGTGCTTTATCATTGCTATTCTCTCCTCAAGTTGTATCACCTCTCTACAAGAATTTGGAGTCATCGACAACAGCACAGCAAAGACCGTAGGTACATATGTGTGTTTATTGGAAATGCCTGAAAGTTTTGTCTCGATTATTTTAGGGTGTGTAGGGTTGCTTGTTTGAAGACACAGGTGTACAGTATGTGAGTATATTACAGTGAGTGACTATTGAGTGCTTTAGGGAAAGGACCAGTCATAGGACTTAGGGTGTGTGTGTTTTTGTTTGGTTAGACTGTGTTAGTCTTTGTTAATGTTCACCTAATTAAGTAGAGATGGCTGATGAGGGTACTTGAAACTGGAAAAGACAGGAAGGATTAGAGCAGAGTTGGTCCTTATGAATTTATCATTTATTTTGATAATGACAGTTAGTCATATTTGTTTGTGAAATCATGAGTCAGGAAAATAGTGTGCAATTAACCTGTGTTTGCTGAGCTAGAGGGGGAAACCACTTTCTGTTTTGGTTTTGATTTTTTTTTAATGCATTTCTCCACCTGGACATTTTAAAATCTCTAGAATAAGAACTTTGACAGGTTATTGTAGGTCATAATAATTAGCTGGACAGATATACCTAGATTGACTTGTGAGGAGACAAGGATTTGTTTACATGATTCCTGACAAATGAATTGATGAAAGATATAAAACCTTGTAGAGTTATCAAAGTTCATTTGAAGTTTCTTGATAGGAAAAAGTATATCTCAGGGCATAGGATCTGATGAGGTGTGTAGCTTTTGTAAATTTGACTTTTACTGAACTGAAAAAAAGGATTACAAAGGAAACACTTGGTGATGTAAACACAAAGTTACATATGCCCTCCTCCTGGTGAAATGTGAAAGGGAAATGCAGAGCACAGTAAATTACTCTCACCAACAAACTCTCCACAATCACATTTTAGTTTCTCTGGCAGTTATTTTGGTCCATGAGAGGGGTTCTCCTTTGGTTTTGAGATTGGCATATGAACAGCTCATTTGCATTTGTAAATATAATTTGCTCTGCATTTGCTACTTTAATTTCAGTATATCAAGTTCAAACTGTGTTTGTGTCCCCCATCTTTCCTTCCCCTTTATTTTCACATTTTACAGTTTCCAATCAGTTTCCAGTTGTTATAATGTGATTCACAATACCTGGTATATAGTCAACAAGTAGTCTCATGTTTTAGCTAACAGATACATGGTTATTAATTTGTGGTCAGAATTTTAAGTAAACAAGAAGTTTCTGAAATTCTTTATCCTCTTTTTGGGAGCGTGAGCCCTAAATCTATTGAAGATTATGAAAGGTATATAGATTTTTTTCTTCTTTTTTTCTAGCTAAAATCTGGCAAATCATAATTAATAGAAAAAAATACTCGAAACATTCAGCCTTCTACCAAAAAATAAAGATGCTAAAAGGCCATATGTCATGCCTAGTCAAAGTGCCTCTTACAACTGCAAAAAGCACCAAAACAGTTTAAGAAAATCTGTAATTAGAATGTTCCTGTAAAGAGGGTTTAGCCCCTTCTTAGGCTCCCTCTGCATCCTTACTCCTCCTCCAACCAACATGATATCAGCTATACCAATAATAAATAACACATTTACAATATCTACTGACATGTTACTAAATGCCACAGCATCTTGCATAAAGTTGAAAAATGGAAAAAATGTGCTCTCCGCTTTTGCGTATCTTTTCATTCTATTTAGTACTTTTTAACCAGAATACTCACTTTTTTTGCTCATTAGTAATAAGGTGTAGAGAAAAATAAAGTTATTTGGAAATTAGTGGAGAGAGAAAGTATTTAAGGAGAAGGAGGGTTATAGGAAAAGTCATATAAGTACTTGTAGTAAATATTTTGATGGCCTTGCTTATTTTATAACACTTTTTAAGAATTGAAATGTGTTGCAAGAGGAATATTTGTCTTTGGGTCTGGTCTAAGATTAGTTAAGATTAAACCTGAAAACCAATCCTCATGATGTAGAGAGTTCATAAATCACTCCTGCAAGTCTAGAAGTATGGTTGTTTGAAAGAGGGCTTTTGAGGAGGCCAGAAAGTAGACAAGGTTCTAGCATTTCCAGTTTTTTTTATGTCATTGTTTTATGAGCATTGAATATTGAGATTGGACGCCCTCTGTTGAAGTATCTACTAAACGAGCAATGAGGCTTTATTGGATACCAGTGCTAAACTGTTTTAGATCATGAGTATTATAGATAATGATAGGATGAAATAGAATGGTTTGAAATTGAGTTGCCATTGAGTATAGGAATCATGAAACTTTTATGTCTTATTCAGAAAAGAAGAAAATAGTCTTACGTGATGTTATATTTGCTGTGAGATTATTTATAAGGAAACTAATAGTTTCCTTAATTTAACATACAAGTAAAAAGTAGTTAACTTGAATGTATACAGTTGTAAATGTGTGCTTTATTGAACAAAAGTAATTGATGAAGCAGATGTGGGTGGAGAGACATTCAGTTTGGAATTGTAACATGAACACTAACCAGAACTGGAGAGTATGTAGGTGATAATCAGACAGTTGTACTTAATAAGGATGTAGACTATATATTACTATCTCAGATGTCTTTTCTGCTCTTGATGCTTGAGAGACCTTTCACAGTTACTTTAGAAGAGAGTCATAAGCAGCAAAATCCACTGTAAGTAGCCTCAAGGAGTAAAACTTTCCGAGTGCAAGTGCTGGCAGAGAAAACACAAGTCAAGAAACAAAAGTATTGCAAGGAACGGAAGGACGGACAAGGAGTGAAGAGTTAAGCATGAGTGTGTGGTGCTCTAATGCCGTATGTGTTTGGTCCGCAGATGCAGGCTTGAGGCTCTGAGTTTAGCTGTGAACCAGTGATACTACAGCTGTAAGTATTTTGTACCCAGGCCCTTATTCTGAAACATCACTTTAGTGCCAGAGTCATGACGATGTTTGTAACACAACCACAACCCACATTATTTTAGTTCAAGCTCTGTTTTTTTACATGTTCTGGAGTGATGTTGGAGAATTGGGGCCAAGGAGGCTGGATTGCACTACATGAATCAGGGATGTTGAGTGGCATCACATTTAACAAAGCTGCTCTTGCTTACTTCCATTGGAATTTAGTCTATTAATGACTGATTTGTATATCTTACATTTTTGGCTCTTAAGATTGATTGCAAGAACATTGGTACCTGTACACTGATACAAAAATCACAATTTCACTCATAATAACACCTGTTGTATTTCTCTTTAGACATGCACACCTACACAGACTAATGAAATAAACAGATTCATGCTGTTTATGGAATCAAAAATTTGTATATGTACACACATCAGTACCCACATATTAATGTGTGTATTACAAACTTGGAATAAGTTGTGTAGTGAAACTCAGCCTCAAACTTTGAATGTATCTATGAATTTTGTAGTGCCTTTACACAGCCTTTATTATGGTTTGGCATGTTTGTCTGTTTAGTTGATATGCATTTTTGTATGTTTTATTCGCACACTAGTGAATATGGATATATATATAAGTGATCCTCTTAATGATTTCTTTATTCCAAATTTCATATTCATAATTATATTTAATCAAAATAGATAACTCAAGAATTTGGAAGGATATCAATATGGGCATTCTATAAGATTATTAATATACCAGCCACTAAGTTTGTTTTTCTATGTATAGAAATTATAAAGACATGGTGCTCTGAAATACTAATTGGATTATTCAACAATATAATCATCTTCATTATCTCTTTAGTTCCCTGTTAGGAATTAACTTTCCGCTTCTTTCTTCGCGCAGAGATTGACGGGACGGAAGGTGCAGGTGCATCACAGAATCTTCCATCGCATCCTCCTGGTTCTCGTCCCAAGCCAGTTCTGCCCAACCTAATTGCCAAGCAGCGGTCATTCAGGTGTAAGCTGTCAAACAAAAGCAAATAGTGCTAGTTCCTTATGTCTGTCTTGAACATGTTTGGAGTCATAGCCAGAATTTGCTGTAGTGAAAGACAAGTCACAACATTATTTCATTTATTCATTTATTTTCTTTTTTATTCATTTGTTTATTTCTATTGTATTTTGGTTTATTTTATTTTATTTTTATTTTTTATCCCAAAAAATTTATGACAATTCTGATGGCTTCTGATGTCACCACTTGGTAATGAAAGTAATGTTACTACAAAATTGACTCTTGCATACCCAGTTTTTTAAATTGTGTTGACATGACACTGATTTTTCCAACTGGAAATTAAAGTAAACGAATTGTGACATGGCAGCTCTTAGCTATAAATGCAGTAATGATTGCCAAAAATTGACAAGTAACAGGATATTGCTGTTTTAATCTGAGAACTCATCCAGTGAAAGGTTGTAACTCAGGTGTTATTAGAATGTCATATTCATTATCTATTAGAAAGGTTTCGTGTATGATGTGATTGTCCTCAATGCCTCTTAGTTAACAGAAGAAATAATAGAGCATTGTTTAAACCTGGATGTAAATGTTAGATTATATGACCATAGGATATAATACACAAGTCCTATTTTGTAGAAAACTATGATGGATGTGATATAAGCTTGCTCCACAGACTGAGCCTGCAGTGGTTACTCACATACTGGCTTGGGACAATGTGATACTTTCTTCATTCATGGCCAAAGGTATACTAGATAGTTGATCTAGTTATATAAGTTATTTTGGGTGTTTGTTGAGTGTTTAGCTTCCTTACCACCATTATGTGGGCCTGAGTAGAGGCTACTTTTATCAAGAAAATTTAATGTCACACATTGCTTATTCCAAGTTATGTTTGGCAAGTACAGTTGTGTGTCAGTGTGACTGCCAAGTTAAATGTGATCAATTTGATCCTCTTTTTCTATGGAGAAAGAGCAGCTTGTCTGTACTAGGTACATGAGTTCTGTAAATATAGCTTGCAGCTAATTAAGGAAGGAATATCCTCAATACTTTTGAAATGTAACTACTTGTGACCTGTTCGTTGTTCTCTGCAGATTGAGTTTGGACACCCAAGACAAGGGTATTCACTAATACCTTAATTCAAGCCATGTAATGAATGAGTTACATAAGAAAAACAATCAGTATTGTATTTTTTTGGCAGATAAGTGAACTTTTGTACAATAATCTAAGTGTAAGTGTGAGAGTGGAAGAGAAATGTATGCAGATATAGAGAAAAAATAAATAAACTAGTAATTCAGAAACTCTGATGTGGAGTCAAGCCCATGTTGAATAACTGGCATGTTTTAGCTTTTCATGTTCATCAGGCTATTGAGTATACACAATGAGGGATATTCTACCAAGAATGATTCAGCATGGAATCACTTTTCTTGTGTGCATACAGCTATAATCCAGATCAGGCAGTGTTAGCTTTGTAAAAAAGAATTTAAAAAAAAGAAAAAAAAAGTAAAAAAAGAAAAAAGAAAGAAAAAAAAGCATTAACAGTTCACAATGGCTGTACACACTTAGGAATTTAGCCTGTAGGTTTTTTCTTTTTTTTTCTGTTGTTGTTGTATTTTTCGTATGTATTTTTCATTTTAAGCTTTATGTCCACTTTTATCATTTTCGCAAGTGGTACCAAGTCCTTTGTGATTGTAAGGGTTCCCCGGTTGTACTATTGGGGCTCTTCTGGACTCGGTATTTTCAAACAGATGTGAAGTTCTGTTGAAACTGTATTTGTTCATTTGTTTTATTATTATTATCATCATCATCATTATCATAATCACATCATCATTATCATAATCACATCATCATCATCATCATCGTCATCATCATCATCATCATCGCTATCATCATAACTCAGTGTATTTGTAGTAGTTATATGGTTAGGAAATACGGTAATACATAGATTTCCTTTCCTATGAGAAATTTATATTCAGCGTATGTTACAGACTATAGCACGTGATATATTTCATTCAAATCATGTTACATTATACTTGTTTTTGATATATGGAGTATTATGGTTTTCAGGCTCGGTGAACTTTTCTGATTTTGTCGCAGTCATTTTCATGATTGTGATTGTTATAATAAATGAGGATATTATTGTTACTGTTGCTGTTGTTTTTATTATTCTTTTTTATTATTATTATCATTATGATTGTTACTTTTATTATCATTATTTTTTATTATTCCCATTATTATTACTGTAATTGTTTTCTATATTATCAGCATTATCATCATCATCATCATTGACATTGGCATTGTCATTATCTTCATTATCATTATCACTATCACCACAATAATAAACAGTATTATTATTAATTTCTAATAGCTTATTATTATTATTATCATTATCATTATTATTATTATTATTATTGATTATATTTTTATAACTTTGACAATGACTACTGTAAAAATAGTTACGACTTTTAATAATGTTACTGTACTTTCTGCAAATCTTGATACAGTACCTTTCTCTCAACAGTACACTAACTGGTCATCATCATTGTCATAGTCTGCGTCTTAGTGTACATCATTAGTTTTCTTGCCTTTGTTTATTTGAAGTCCATGGTATTAATTCTACTAGTAATGGTATTATTTTGGTTATCCTCATTAATGTTTCGTCCTTTTTCTGTGTTATTATTATTATGACTTCCATGCTTCGAGTATTGTGATCACCATCACTTTGTTATCATCTTTACATCACCACCACCACCATCACCACTATCACTATCCTACCATTATTATCTTCACCATCATCATCACAGTCACCTTCATAATCATCATCACCATTATTGTCACTAAACTTTAGTTGTCCCTTCTGTTTTAGAGCTTCTGTCTCTCTGATATGCGACATGAGGCTGTTTTGAACTGTAGCCAGTGAGAATACAAAAGACCAGAAATGACAACACTCCCATTTCATACATCCCTGATTTCTTTGGACAGAGCTAAGTTGGAGATTTCATTTTGAAGGAATTTCACAGTTGGTAGCTTTCTTCGATATCTCTCGGTTTCACTCTCTCCCCTCTCCTGACATATTCTCTCTCTCTCTCTCTCTCTCTCTCTCTCTATCTCTATCTCTATCTCTATCTCTATCTCTCTCTCTCTCTCTCTCTCTCTCTCTCTCTCTCTATCTCTATCTCTATCTCTATCTCTATCTCTCTCTCTCTCTCTCTCTCTCTCTCTCTCTCTCTCTCTCTCTCTCTCTCTCTCTCTCTCTCTCTCTCTCTCTCTCTCTCTATCTCTCTATATATATATATATATATATATATATATATATATATACCTCCCTCTGCACTCTCTCCTTACCATATCCACATCACCATCTCTGTGGTTTTATGTACATCATATAATAATATATCCATTTTATTTGAATTATGTCACAGAAAGAAGAATGCTTGAACATGTAAAAGACTAGCAGAATATTGTGCTGTTGTTGCTATTATTATTTTATTATTATTATTATTATTATTATTATTATTATTATTTTGTTGCTATTTTTCTGTATTATCATCATCATTATTTATTATTATGGGGATAATTAGGATTATCGTCATTAGTATTCAGTTGTATTGTCATTACAGTTCTAAAACAGTAATGAACATTTTCTTATGCAGCTTTTTAATTTTTGCAGCTAACTTTAATAGAGGTACTTGGGTAATTCTATTTTTTTATATGGTGAATGTCATCTTAAACAGTATGTTTTCAAGAAAGACTATTCTGGTAGGAAAAGGGGGTCAAGGGTCGTATCTTAACTTAAATACCTTATCTCAGCTCTCTTAATCCAAAGGCGTAGCCAACATTCCCTGCCACTGCTTGCACGGCATTGTTTCAGCAGCAACTGAATCCCCATAGCATCCTGAGGGCAAGAGTCAGTGAGCTCATGTGATTGACACTTCTACTTTAGAATTAGACATTCCTGGATTTTTGTTCTGAGATTTTCCTTTGCCAGATTGCGTGGGGATGAGGGGCTTGCATTTCTCAACTCGCTGTTACTGTCATTTTTTTATTATTATTATTATTATTTTACCATTTATTATTATTATTCTATTATCATTTTCAACATCAATATCATTGTCCATGCCACTGTCATTATCATCATCAGTACCAGTATCATTATCCTCAGCAGTTCTTGTTTATACGCTCTTGTTTATTGAATCATTATTATTATTTTTTGTTTATTATGCATGCTGTGAAATGCTATTGTATTTTCAACAAGGGAAAGAGATGTCAGTCATTATTGGTCAGTCATGTTTTCTTGTGGATTATGACATGATATCTCACTTTGCAAAATTAATGTATAAATAAATTAGCATTATCTCACTGAGTACAGTTCAAAAGTCTGGCAATGCTCTTATATTTAAAGAAAAATATATATACATAGTAATGTACAGTATTTTACCATTGTTTTAGACTCCTTAAAATGTAGTGTGGTCATTCATCACTGAATTGGGTAAAAGAGTGATTGCTACTTATAAGCGAAACACTGGCTGTTTTATTTTTGTATTTTTGAATCTCTTTAAAAGTCTAGTATGAAGTCTTCAATTAGAAACATTGTTTAAGTTTTAAATTATAATGTCTTCTAGTGTATATGAAAAAAGGCCGTTACTAATTAAATAAGAAATTTTTATATATTTTATTTCAGAAACTAAGCCATGATTGTTAATTATTATATTTTAACCTGATTACTTGTGTATTGGAACCACAGATGATTTTCCAACCCAGAAATTGGATCCTTTATTCAGAAGAGTATTAAAAGTGAATATGAATGCCAGATTTGATGTTGTATTGCCATATTTGTAAATTTTCATACTATTAACTGCTATTATGCTTTGTTTAGATTATGTAGAAAGTGATGCAAGTGTAATAACATATTAATATGAATTTGAGATTCACAGTCATCACCTGAATTATTGGATTTTATCTTTCATCAGTTGATAGTCTCTAACTTGTTCAAAGAAAACATATACTGTTGACATGATGAGATGCTGTTAGGAAAGTTAGGTGAAAATATTTCCTTTCTTTATGGAGGAGGATCAAGGGGTCATCATGAATAAGCTGTTTATTCATGTTTATCCTTTGAAAATATGCATCATGATGTAAATACAAATTGTGCATACATGCAAAAGATGTAATAGTGTTTGATAAGTACAATACAATGGTGTTCTTACATGCAAGATGTAGAGGTTTGATTAAGATCTGTAAGATGACGATATATGATATATGATTTGCCTGACATTTTGAATCACCCACCACCATTATTGATGAACGACATCAGTCACGTCTTGATCAAATAAAAAAAGTATTTGTTTCGTCTTGCACATACCATGCTTACTTGCTTATGAACGTGGTGCATCTTCTAATAGCAGTACACGTTCGGTAGTCTGGCGTTGGTTTGCATTGGCGTTGTTTGTTGTACTTTCAATAGCTATCCTAGTCTCCCTATAATTTATGTGATGTATTATGTCTGTCATCACGTGAAATCTTTCTGTCTCTGTTAGTTGGCTGTTGTCCTGTTGTCTCTGTCTATCATCTGTATATGTGTGTGATTGCGTTGGATGTGTGTTCTGTCTTGTTCTGTCTCTGGTCTAGTCTGCCTCTGCTTTTCAGTCTCTTGTTTTGCATTCTATTTCTCTGCTCGCTCTTCTATCCATGGAAAGAACGCCTCCATCCCGAACCTCTTTTCCACGAGTTCCAGCTACTTGCGCTTCTAGCATGACTACCGTTCTCTGCTCCGCTCCTATCAAGCCAATCCCCCCAGTCCATCTCCCGTTGATTAACTCAGTCCCTACACAAAACTTACAAACAAAACACTTTACTCAAAATGAAATATTGTTACATACAAACATCCCATACAACTTACCCCAGCTATCCCGGTCAGCGTCGCGAGTCTACTATCTCTTCTTCTCCCGTAAAAACTCCCCCCCCCGCTTACCTCTTCGTGGTTTTTTTTGGCATCACACACACATAAGCCTACGTTTTCCACGCCTCTTGTTGCCTCCTCTCCCGTTCTTCTTCTCCTCCATCTACGTGATTTTATTTTCTTGAATTCTTCCCTCTCCTGTTCCCCGTGAGCGTGAATGACGTTCACAGGTGACCTCATCCTCCTTCTCAGTCCCACCTCCTCTCTTCTCTCTTCTCCTCTCCCTACCCAGCAGGTGCCTCACGAGGTCTCTCTCCATCTCTCTCTCTCTCTCTCGTGCTCTGCGTGCTCTCTCTCCTCTCTCTCTCTCTCTCTCTCTCTCTCTTCTACTCTCTCTTCTCGTCTTCTTCTCTCTCCTCTCTGCTCGCGGTCTCGTCCTGCTCTGCTGTACTACCCTGCATTCCTCTGGTCCCGGGTCGGTGGCCCTTCGCCCTCTCCCTCCTCTCTAGTGCATCTCTCGTCCCTGAGCCTCCGCTTGCGCTCGGCTCTGCTCGCTCTCCTTCGTTGGACTTACGCGCTCGGTCGTCCCCTGGCCTTCCCCATACCTGTGGGTTGCCGTCTCGCTCCGTGTGCAGCTCCATCTGTGCTCAGAGTGTCCAGAGCTGCCTGCCCATCCTTTTGGGCGCCGCGAGCCCCCTCTCTCGTCTATGCTCGGTCATCTCTTGCCTCCATCTCTCTCTGCTCCTGCTGGTCTCTCTTCTGCTCTCTCTGTCTCTCTCTCTCTACTCTCGTCTCTTTGTCTCTCTCTCTCGTCGTCCTGTCTCGTCACTCCTATCGTCCGTCGCTCTCGCTCTCTCCCCCTCCTCTCGTACTGCCTTCTGATTTGAATGGTGGATGAGCCGGACAGACCATGTTTAAGCAGTCAGCCTGCTTGCTGACATGGTGAGGTGTCCTTGAAGATGTATATCTGACAATATGTAAAACAGTGCTTAAAGACAATAGGTAATTATATACGTCACCACATAGAAATGCCTTCGCCGTAGATTCTTATTGTGAAGAAGTACTGTGTCGTCTGCATGACGCGTCGAGTCCCGCTCTCAGGAAGTCTACGGTGGCTCAAGTAGATAGTTCGTAGCAGACACAGTTATGGGGACATAAAATAGAAACTCATGAGAGATCGTGTGTTTTCGCCGACTTATTTTCGAGTTCCATGTGGTTCATAGGTTGCCAAAAACTATTACTCTTTAGAGGTCAGCATTATGATCTTTGAATGACTTGGGGTAAACTATTATGCACAGTAGAAGTATAAAATTGTGCCATAGATTGTGCACATTTAGTCTGTCACTGATGGGAATGGAGTCCACTAAGAAAGTGCATGTAACCCCACGCTCCCTGAAGATTTTTTTTTCCTGATGGTCATTTTTTATATTATTGTTTGTTGGGAGGACCGCCGAATTTTTTATTTTTGTTGTGGGAGTCTTGGAAACCAAGAGTTAAGGCCCAATGTTGGGGGATCAACCTGCCTTGGACTCAGCCTCACCTGGTTAATTAATTTTCATGGTCGCTATTTTACTTGTTTTTTCTTCTTTTCTTCTTCCACCTTTTTTTCCTTCTTTATCTTCGTCTATTCTGTCCAACCCTAAGTGTAAGAGCATTGCTGAAAGCGCTGATTAAAGCTAAGGTGCTGTGTCTGTCTTATCTAGCCTTTTCCTACTCTTTTTGCACTATTCCCTTTGTTAACCTTTTTTGGCTTACCATACTAACCGTATACTGACTGTATAACTTTTGACATCTAGTGTATTTTTTATAACTTCGTCACTTCATTTTTTTGCCTCTTTCTTCACCCAATCACTCCTCTCCTGAGTCTTCCCACCAGATTTGCTTCGGGTTACCATATTTTCTTATTCACGCTAGCATGACTTAGGTGTTTATGCAGCCAATTTTTGCAATAAATAAATATCATGATCTTTACTGTAGATCACCATCATCCAAGTAGCGTACTTACAAGATAGCTGAGAACGGCGGTACTGCAACTTGATATTTTTAACAAGTATTCACGCATATTACCGAAGTGTCGCTAACAATAAGACTTTGATGATGTTTGGATAGTGTATCACAAGTTGTTTACCATATTCTTTTATTCTAATTGACCTTTAGGTGTTTGATGGCCAATTTTTTCAATAAATAAATATATGAGTATTTATGTAGATCCATATCAAGTACAGTACTTACAAAAGATAAGCTACTGCAATATATATTTTTAACAGTATCACCATATTACCGAAAGTCTGCCTAACAAAGACTTTATGATAGTTATAGTAGTATCACAAGTTATTACTGGATCCCCTACATTATCTGAAATTAATTATACTTGAAAGTGATATTCCATTATGATATTCTCCTTATTAATTATCTATCAAGAATGGACTACCACATGAGAATAATGGTTGATACAAATAAAATGTGAAAAAACATATATATCTTTTACCATATAGATAACAAGGATACTCTTTAAAACTAGCTGACATAACCACAAAACACTTGAATGGTTTCACAATCATTACAAGACATCATAATCACAAAAATGGTGATTGTGAAGATTGAAAATGCCCCCCCCTCCCCATCTCTTGCTTATTGTTTTTGTGGGGTGGCTTAGGAGATAGAGACAGTCCAATGTAGGGGAGTACCACTACCTTAATCCCCCCCCAATCTCATGCTCATTGTTAGGATGGAGACTGAGGCCAGATGTGGGGGGATCACCCATGCCATGGACCTCACCCCTAGCCTCAACCAATTTTACATTAATTAATTTTTAACCATTTTCATCCCCCCCAATCCCTTGCCCGTTGTTATATGACCTTTGATGTCTAGCACATTTGTTTTCTTGTCATTATTACTTACTTACTTGCCCGTTGTTGTCGTGGGGGGGGCTTAGGAGATGGAGACTGAGACCCAATGCAGGGATCTCCCTTGCCTTGGGCCTCAGCCCCTGACTCAACTAATTTTGCATGGTCTTTTCCCCCTCCAGCTTTTTGTTTCCGTCCCTTCTCCAACCCCTTCTACTATCTACTTCCTAAGGTGTAAGAGCCGTGCTGAAAGGATGAAAGGCTGACCTTGTGCCAGTCCTTAATGGCCTGTGGGAACCATGGGCATGGTACTCCCCTGATTTAATTGTCTAGCCCTTACCCCCTATAGGGCACTGGGGATGGACTGTTTATGTCCGTTTACATAATTAAGACTTCCCATGGCCAGTAATGAAGATGTAATATCCCTATTAGGGGCAATGAGGCTTGTCCCTTCATCAAATAGCCCCACCGGCTCCCTGACCCCAGGCTCTCCTTTGACCACGACTCCGAACACTGAAACTACTACCCACGCCTCAATGCCTACTAGTGCATTACCCACACAAGCAGAGACTCAATCTCCAGAAGACATTCCTAACCTCTCAACTTCCTCAAATTCATCAACTCTACCCCTACAACCTTCATCAAACACCCCAACCTCCCGTATTACTACCTTACAGCCTTATTCTCCATCTCTCCATAATACTAACCCCCTCAACAACTCTCCCACTTCCACATGCCCCCGTCCTTCTACCACCACCAACCCTACAAATATCTTAACTACTCTATTTAGCCCAGCTAAATGGGACCGATTCTTTGTGATATCCCCTACAGCTCTTTACTCAGGCAACACTTTTCTTTCAACAATGTCTCAAAAAACATGTAGACAGAGTCCCTTTCTGTACCCGACATGATCACCTGCGTCTCATAACAGTAAGATCTGAAGCTGAAGCTATAGCATCATTAAAACTAACTTATTTCTCTGGCAACCCCATCCCTGCAGAACCTCATCCAACTTAATACTTGTACAGGAACTGTGTCTATCTCCCCAGCAAACTGCCCAGTCAATACCAAAGGTTGGTCAGATTGTGGAGAAGACTTTCTCGGCTGCCTCAAAGACCAGGAAGTGATATCAGTACATTGCTACTCCATTCCTCCTAGAGATCATCAAAAGAAACCCACCAACATTGCCAAAATTACTTTCAGTACACATGACCTTCCCATTCGTATCTACATTGGTGAACAATCCCTCCCTGTCAATGTCAAACTTGTTGGCGATTTGGACATCATGCCAAACACTGCCATTCCACAGACCGATGTCCCCTCTGTGCCCAACCTGGTAATAACAGATCAAACTGCCCTGCACAAACACGTACATGTGCTAACTGCGGCGGCCCCCATAAGGTATTTTATAGAGGCTGCCCCACTTACAGGTTCAAGTCTGAGGTAGCAGCTCTCAGATACTAAAATGGTCGCACTCTACACGAAGCCAGGCAGGAAGCACGCCAACAAGATTTCTCTTATACTCCCTACTCCAGTAATGTTGCTTGTTCAGCTCCTCCCCCTCCACCTAAAGATGTTCCTACACCCTCCCCTATACCTACTTACTTCCCCACTTCCACTTCTACATTTAACCTCCCCCAGTCAAATTCTTTTGCCACTCTAAATCCAGACACCCCAATCTCAACCACAGCCCCAACATCATCCCCTCTCCCTCCATGCAGAAGACAGACTAAATGTTCTACCCCTTCTTCCCCTACTGCACACTCACCTCCACCTACCTTTACCTTTACTCCTCAGACACCAGTCTCCTCTTCCCCCCCTCATAAGAAAACCTTTGTCCCACAAAATTCTCCAACCAACTCCAATGCAGAAACTATGGAAGACATTCAAAGCTATATGCTTGAGACACAAAATTCCATAACTCATGCTCCCTCCACACTTGAAGTGATTGCCAATATCCATACCCCTCCTCATATTCCCCCTACACCCCTTCCTCCTACTCCCTCTCAACACAACCAAACCCCCTTAGTTCCGTCCACCACCGATATCCATCCTCCTGAAATCCATCCCCCTCTTACTCATAGCACCCTTACACCCCTTCCTCCTCATCCCTCCCAAGACAACACATCCCCTTCAACTCCAACTGTCCATCATCCTACCACTAATATTCCCCCCACACCACTTCCTCCTACTCCCTCCCAACACAACCCACCCCCTTCAACTCCAACTATACGCACATTCTCCCTCCCTCCATCCCCTCTATCCTTTCCACTCCCTCCCGGCTACACACGGGAATCACTCATGTCACAACAATGCCTTTCCCCAGATTCCCTACCTCCTGATACCCCTCCTTTACACCCCCTAGCTCTCCCCCTCCCCCTCGATAAGCTCTCCTACATTGAAATATTTGCGGTTTCCGTTCTCACAGACCAGACCTACGTCATATCCTTGCTTCTTATAACAACCTGTTCTCCTTCCTCAGACGCATAAATATCCTTCACTTGATCTAATTCCCTTACCTAAACCACCATAACCCTTTCCTCATCAACCCCTTTACCCATCTTCAACTTTCCAACGTTACTCTAGATAGTTGACGCATAGCAACTATCACCTGACATCACCCTTTACTATACCTTCCTATAGTGCTATATGACCTTAGATGTCTAGCACATTTATTTTGCTTTTAACCATTAACCATTTGTTGTTTAATACAATGACTTGGAAAAATAAAAAAAATATACCTTGTACTATGATCACCACTCGCCGTGCCCTATACAAAAACAATAGATTAAATGCTAACAACATCCCATAAACAAACCAAAAACCACAATTCCACATTGTTACTGCAAACAAGAAAACAACACTCCATCTATCACCAACCCAACATTCTGTTATATCAACTCACAAAACTCTGTAACCGATCAATGGAAGCTCCCAACCCTGGTCACCACCACCTATCCAACACCAGACGCTCTGTGGCCCATGGCTACTCGCTGGTCTGACGGCATCCCCATCTACTATGCTACATCCCTAAACAAGCACTCACCATTTTCTTGACTCGTAGTCCAACAGTGTAACTCGTTACAAGTCCCCCTAAAAAGCTACCACTTTCCCTTTTAATTATACCACAATATTCACAAATGTAAAGGATTTTTTTTACAAAAGCAAACAGTAATTCCCTACACCTAGTAATATTTGTGTCCAGAAATCACTCAAGTGCTTTATTTATACAAACTACTAGATATATTTATTTTTATTGTAATTTTGGGGCAGGGAAAAGTTATTTTTCATCAGCTTGTAATAATACAAATAAAAGGAAAAATCACACAATTTGCATAAGAAATGCTGAATTATTCCAACAATTTAAGGAGCATAGTAAAGCTTTTTTCCACAAAAAATTTATTTCACATTAACATAAATGTATACATAATACACATACAGAACTTACTACAATTGCCATTTCCTTTTATAATACAAAACTGGAGCTCTAATTTCATTCTAAACTTATAGCCAAAAAAGAAAAACTCATTAACATTTTTCATTCAGCATGTTTGAAATTAATGATTACATCATACTAAAAAAAAATTAAAAAATCATTTTGCAAGCAAGAGAGCCGAGACATCAGAGTGAAGATTGTTATTGGTTATTATCATGAATGTATATATTTTTATCATATATGAAAACAAAAAGTTGAGCAGAAAGTATTGTGATTTTTACTTGGGTTTCATTTTAAAGAAGTTGGTGTCACCTAAAGTAATCCCTTTATCTACATTGTGTTGTGCATGCTGGACATGCTCAACACTACTCCAGCAGCCTATGAACCCATCCTATTTTGCTCATAAATTCTGATGTTCATAACTACGTCCGCTTCTTTTGGAGTGAGGAGTGTCACACCCTGCTCAGCCAAGGCTTTTACTGGTGAAATAACAAGGCTGAAAGCATCTTGGTCATCGCGCCACATACGTATGGTGTCCCTCAGAAGAAAAGTTGTTGCATGTGGCAAGGTGAGTAAGATCACGGATTCCTTGACTCTGGTGAAAAATGGTCAAGAAATTGTTAACAATGGTGACTAATGAAGTTTAAGTTAAATCAATTACTTTATATATAAAAAGAAAAAAAAAAGAAAATATATATACATATATATATGGAGTACTATTTTTTACAGTAAGTGTATTCAGTAATATAATAAAGCAATACTCTGTAATTAGTAATTCAAAAAGAAAAAAATACATGTATATATATCCATATACAAATAAACATAGTATAAATTACAGCAAAGAATGGCACAAGCAAAGAAATGTGAAGAGTAAATAAAGAAAAACAATAATAATAAATGTAGCAGTTGTAGAAAACAGCACTATAGTATCAACGAGGTAGAGTATTTGGCTATTCAAAAGAACAAATCTCTATTATAATCTCTCATTCTGAGAAATATATGAGGTATGAAAATCATGAACTCAGATTAAAGGTTCTACTATGATAGTACCACCACAGTGTGGACATAATTCAGCCTTATTTACTCTCATTACCTCATCACATTCCTATAAGCCTATAGAGCCTTAACACTGCCACATTTCATACACAAGAATAATACTAAAACCACACTTTTCACATAGGGACTGGAGACAGCAGAGATCCCTAAACCTACACTGCATACCCCATTTTGCAGTTCTAGATACTTTACTGCCATACTTTGCATCTTCAAATTATGAAATAGCCCTCATACACTCTTTCTTTCTTTTGATAAATATGTATCTAACAGGTCAAGTTGAGAATGATAATTCTTTGAACAACTGACATGCTAGTGATGATAACTGATAAAAATACAATGATGCTACTTTGACATTTTCATTTAGCCAACATTCAACCTCTTCTCGTCCATCTTTACCTCAGTTTAAAAATAATAATAATAATTATAATGTCATAGAGTACTTACAACTTGAAGAAATTTTCTGGTTTCTGTGTAAATTCCCCAAAGATTGGGAATAAGCCACGTAACATGTCAAACTTGAACTGAGCAGCACCAGTATCACTAAACCGTGTCTGGAGAATTACCTCTTCGTACACATACTGTTAATAAAAACAATTATTCCACATATTATTTGCCATAATAAATATATAAAGGTAAACATAGATAATGAAATCACTTTGTTAAACAAAACTAAAAAACTATATTACTGAGAGGAATCCTTCTTAAGGATGATATATTTCCTAGATCCATTAAACAGTAAACAATGATTGCTATATACTATACTACACAAAATCCTACCTTGTTGAGGGTATCAGCAACAATCTTCCATAACTGTGTGAAAAGAGGAGTTGCCAATACATCTCTGAGTGCATGAAGATGTCTTGCAAGCACCTCCAACATTGGACAAATACTGGGACTTGGATCAGTTATTTTGTTCGAGTCTAGCAGTGCCTTTGGGTTTGTAGTATAAAACCACTTGTCCTTCCTGTATGGTTGGCTCCGAGCACGAACCTCCGTAAATACATAGCTGGCAAGATTGCGGACCATCTCACCCTGGATGTGTGTATACAAGTCAACTGTGCTGTCAAATACCGAGCCTGAAACCTCTGCCAGTCGAGCTGCAGTTGGTGCTTCTGTATTTGTGTTGAGCGAATCTAAGGCATCCTGGAAAAGAAGATTGTGCAAATTTTAAGACATGACATACTTCCTATGATATTTTACAATACCAACATCACAGCAGTATTCCTAAACAGCTGGTTGATCCCAGCACACTGGCTGTGTGGGCAAGCTGGACTGACCAGTCTCTTTGGGAACCTGCAAGCTTTATCTCACTGAAA